ACCCCATCTTGTCCCCCCGTCTCAGTTTTTTTTTTTTCCAACAAAAAAAAAAAAAAAAAAAAAAAAGGAATCTTGTTCTAGTTTGAAGTTATTCTTTAAAACTGATATTACGTTTTTATTTCTTCATATTTTAGGTGTGTGTCCCTTCCATTTGTGTGTTTTTTATGCAATGAAAAGGAACAGAGAGTCATGTTTATTGATTTTTATGACAGGAGGGAGAATTATCTAGATAAACGCAGTGTGTGCAGGGTACACCAGCTGCCGTCAGCAGCCTGTTTTCTCATGTGATGTGAGTCATCTTCTTATTCCACTGCATGCTTGTAATGCCTGAGTCTCACGGTCCGTGTGTTTGCACTTTTTGTTTCCATTACTGTGGTGCCCATGCCCCTCCTCCCTGCACCCACTCATAGGAGGAGTGTACTAACCCACTGGAGCAGCACCTCACCGTGAGTACACGTCCTCTCAGCTGCTCATGCCGCCCCACAGCCCTTCTCCTGTCTCACCTCACTGATCTTTTTTGTGTCTCAATCAGCCATAGCATAATCTGATCATGTTAAAATATAACCGCTTCTTGTTGCTGCAGCAGGCAGAGTCTCCTAGCGGAATCATCTTAGACCATGTTAAATGTTATTTTGCAAATCCATGCCATTCAAAGCGCTGATAGAAATGTAGATGTAGAATTTCTAATTTTGTTTTTGGTGTAGTTACTTCTCTGGATCTTTGCTGTCTTGTAAATCTTTGTCAATTATTTCATTTTCTTGTTGACTTGTGTGTATCCTCAGGAAATGGCAAGCACTTTGGCTCAGAAGCACCTGCGGTCCATAATCCTAAATGTGAGTATTAAACTCTAATGTTGGAATAAACGCATGTTAGATGAGAGTAATTCAGTGTTTTGGCCTTATTAAATACAGCCTACAGTAATTCGGAGCATCCAGCTCCCTCAAAATCTTTCCTGCAACTAAAAGTTTGTTTCGGGAAAATCGAACGCTTCACTCACTCAGAAAGCCGAGACCCCGAACCAGTAAATGTGATACGCCATCGAGTCCATGAAGTGGAAAATAATTTGCCCTGAAAATGATTTCTCTTGGCACTAGTCAGGAAAGACCTGCCTGAACTGGCTGTAAATGTCATAGACAAGAGTGCTGCGCTCCAGTTTCCTGGAGAAACTCAAACTTTTCTTGGAATAAAACTTTGTGATTCTGAACACTTTTAAATGAGCCATAGTTACCTGAAACAACACAGTGTGTGCCGTCTCCCTCCGATCCCTGGAGTCACTTTGCACTTCTCATGAATAGTGTGTGTGTGTGTGTGTGTGTGTGTGTGTGTGTGTGTGTGTGTGTGTGTGTGTGTGTGTGTGTGTGCATGCATGTATGTATGTATGTATCTCAAAATTTTAATGATTACATATGAAAGGACATGTTTGTCTGTTTTAAGAATTACATGAAATAAGGTCCAAACTTCCTTTGGATATTTGTTCTTCAAAGTAAGAATAAACATCCAAAAGCCACTTAAAATTTAGTTTTCTTGTTTTTTGGGGTTTTTTGGTTTTTGGTTTTTGTACATTTCAGCAACCTCAACTGATACAAATGTACAACATCCAAGTACTTTCAAGACCTACTGAGCTGGTCTTAAATAATTAAAGTTTTCTAATGTTTTGTGGTCTAATTTTAGATTTATTTATTTCTTTATGTTTGATGTCGGTCTATCACATTAAACCCAAATAAAACACAGTCATCTTTGTGACTGTAAATGAAAAGGTCCCCAATATTATTATTTTTTTATGAATTAGAGTCTAACATTTTGTATAGTTGAATTTTGTCTGCCGTTTATAGCAGAAAACATGAATGCTCTAATAATTACTGTGGCTCTTTTCTCTTTTAGCACGTCATCAGGGGAAATCGACCAATCAAAGCAGAGATGGCACATCAGCTGTATGTGTTACAGGTGTTGACCTTTAACCTTTTGGAAGAAAGGATGATGACCAAAATGGATCCCAATGACCAGGTGAGATTTTCAAGCAAAATATTTTCCATTCACATGTTCTATAGTCTTCCTAAAATGCATTTTGGCTCCACTAATTGCACATGAATGTGTAAAAACCCCAGCATGTAGACAAGCTGCCGTTGCATGTTAAAATGAAAGCCGTGGTTAATTAAGTGGGAGTGGGTGCACGCTGCGAAGGTTTAATAGAGACATCCTATTACGTGGGTAGCACACTCTCTGATAAATTTGCTTTAAGTGCAATCAGCAGACCGGAAAATTAAGCCTTTCCCGTTTTTGCCAGTACTTGCTGCAAGCCATCTGCTCATCGCTGATTGACCCATCTACTTTCTGGCTTCTTTTGTAATTTTGGTGCTATCATGGTAAATGTTTCCCTCTTTATGCTGATAAGCTGTTAACATGGTTGTTTTTCCCCCATCTCAGGCTCAGAGAGACATCATTTTTGAGCTGCGCAGAATTGCCTTTGATGGAGACACTGATCCCACCGGTACAGAGAAGAGGAAAGCAATGTACACCAAGGACTACAAGATGCTCGGCTTCACTGTGAGCAGATTTCACCAGATACACAATCAGATTCAAACAGAAAAACCAAAGTGCTGTTTTCTCTTTCTTGTGCCTCATTATCTCTGTCTGAAACACAGAACCATTTGAACCCGGCCATGGACTTTACCCAGACTCCTCCTGGGATGCTGGCTCTGGATAACATGCTTTATCTGGCCCGGGTTCATCAGGATACTTACATCAGAGTCAGTGCCGGCATCACACATGACTTTGACCCACTAAAGGAGCTGAAAAGCCTGGCTGGGCCTTAACTTGTCTTTCTGTTTATGACAGATCGTGCTGGAGAACAGCAGTCGGGAGGACAAGCATGAGTGCCCCTTTGGCCGCTGCGCGATCGAACTTACTCGGATGCTGTGCGAGATTCTCCAGGTCGGAGAACTGCGTAAGTGGCTTTGTACATCTGCCTCTGGGTGTAAAAAGTGTGTTAGGAGAGAGAGAAATAATTAGAGGTTTTGTGTCTGATTTCCCAAATTTTGTAAAGCTTGTCAGTATTCATTTTAATTGGCCATCCTTAGAAACCATGAAGAGTATCATAATAATTCTTTATATGCTTTCTGCACAAAATGAATCTTTACTACTAATTGTAAAATTAAATAATGATGGCAGCCTAGAGTTACAGGGATTTCACTTTCTGCATCAGAAACTTTGCAGACACAGTAAAATCCTTCAGGCTTTGCGGCACAGAGGTATGTAGAAATACAACGCCTCCGAACAAAAACACATTTACTCATCTACCACAAAAACTGTAACTCAAAAACTTGTTTTGTTTTATTTTGTTTTGTTTTGTTTAGCATGCCCCACATAACAAGACATTCAGTATTTTTATACAACATCTTTTTAGAATAAACAATAATTTTGTTCCACTTAAAATTTTGAGAATAAAAAGCTTTGGTGTGCTTTTCTGTGTTTCTTACATATCAGGTTGTTACATCATACATGTAATTTATTGTAACTTTAATATTCTTAGCATCTTTCCTGTTATAATCAGTAAACAATTAATTTATATCAGGAACGGAGGGGGCAGTAAGTGTTACACATAGGACTCCAAAGCTATTAAAACAAAGACAAGACGACTGCAGAAGCGACATTTGAAATCGTCTTTTATAACAATAAATAATAATAATAGTAATGTTAATTAAAAATATATATTTGTATGGTGCTTTTCTAAACCCTTAAAGACACTTTGCAGGAATCAAGCAAAATTACGGACAGAACACTATGCACATCAAATACACTCATTAAACTCGCCCCCACTAAACACCATTCCAAGCATGTTTTTCTAAGAAATGTCGACCCTTTCAATTTTTTTTTTAAGACTTTAAAAAAGGCTGCCAGTACTTGCAAACCCAGCATATTTCATGACAGACTGAGGGGAAAAGCTCGGAAGAAAACAACTGTATTCTTGTTCTCTTTTGCTGTCTGGCAGCTTGAAGGAAGCCCAGGCATCTCTTGACAAGCCTCTTGCACATTTTAAGCGTCCTGTGACTGTGTCAGTGTCCCTCAGTAACAACTTGTCCACCCAGCAGCGGCGTTTGTGCAACCCTTGTAGTGCTTCGGTGTGTTTGGTGAACACAAAAAAGAGATCGAATCTTTATTTTCAAATCACTGATTAGGACCGCCGGAGAATAAATTGGCTGATTCTGGTCACCTGGAGATTTTTTCCAGTGTCTCTGCTAATAAACTCTTCCTAACGCAGCAACAGCAGAGCCAATAATCAAGGCAAGATCAATGCAACGAAGTGGTTACACTTTACATGCTGATGATCAGGTTGACCAGTGTGTCTGTGCATCTGATTTCAGTGCAGCATCTGGCCAAAACCCATGTTTACACATTTGAAATTGTTTTCTGTTTAGCAAACGAGGGCTGCAATGATTATCACCCCATGTTCTTCACTCATGACCGCGCGTGGGAGGAGTTCTTCTGCGTCTGCATCCAGCTGCTTAATAAAACATGGAAGGAGATGAGAGCCACGGCTGAGGACTTCAACAAGGTCTGAGATTACACAACGCTCGTATTTATATTCAGATGCACACATTAATTAAAAGCTCTCAATTTTTATTTTTTTTATGCCTAAGCTTTCCAAAACAAACCTTAGACCTTATGGTGGCAGCTTATTTACCCGCAGCGCTCACGGAAACCTTTGCAAACAGAGCAAATTTGATTTGTTCCTGTTTATTTTATTCGCATGCTAATTTTAGAGGTGAGGTAATTAGCACCTTTGGTTGCCATGTGATTTAAACTGCCTCCTTCCAGTTATCTGGCTCTCCCTTTATATTTGGGCTGAAGCCAAATTGTGCTGCTTTAAAAAAATCATGAATCAATGTGGATATTAATCTAAAGAATAGAGTCATCCAAAAAGAAAAGAACATATTCTCTGACAAAAAAGGGAATGTTGTTAAGAGTCAAGAGCATGTCCTCCAGCAGCAGACGCAGTTGTCAGTTTCCTTTAATTATTGGTGCACAATATGACAAAAATGGACTTTTCTGGACGAGTTGAACTTCATGACCCGTGCGGTCGCCCTCACGTAATTGGTTCCAACACCGACCCACGGTGACATCTGCACACCGCTCATGCAGAGCAATTATATGATGCGACTGCTTAAGCTCATACAGACCCACAATGTGACCCCTATCAAGCTCCATCAAGTGCTGATAAAGCTGTATAATTTGTCTATGAGGCATCTTCTGTGTCCAGTGACCTTCACTCTCCGTTTTTATGACCACTAAACACTCCAAAATCTGTCTCATAACACAGTTTGTCCACGCACAATGCCACCACTCATGCCCACTCCAAACTCGCATTTTCACTCCAAAGAGAGTCATTTACACGTCCATCGCTGGTCTGCACTAATGGGCGGACTGGGAGATTAATGTTTGGGCCAGTGGATAATAAGTGGTTCCTGTATTTTAGTAGCAGAATCTCACTTTGAAGACAGCAGCTTCTGTTTCAGAAGAAAATTACAATTTGCTTTAATAGTAAAACAAAGAATGGAGCAAGAAAATAAAATGATTAACATACCCTGTATTAGGGATGGGTCATAAACCAATCATTGATTAATCAAATTTTTTAATCATGAGGATTTAATTATTGGAAAATCTGGATTTTTCTTTTCACTCAACACACTCTGAGATGCTTGTTTTAAAAGATGAATGATCCAAAACATCTTTCAACAGAAATGGTTCACCAAACACAAAATCATGTTTGTTTCATATTTATCTCAGTCCCTAGACAAAGGATGTCCAAAGTGTGGCCCGGGGGCCATTTATGGCCCTTGGACTAATTTTGTTCAGCCCCCAACTACAATTCAAAAATGATACAAATTTCATTTGTAGATGCAAATGTACACTTTTAATTTGTAATCAGGGTAAAAATTGTTACCAACATTATTTTCTTACACAGGAAAATGTGAAGTATAGCACAAAGTATTCGTATTTACACAAAAAAATTTTAACAAAAGGTAAAACCAAGTTTATCCAGAGACTTTTACTGAAAAGGCAACATTGCTGCACCCGAATCAGCTTTTATTCTTTCTTAAACTTGGCTAAATATAGCAAACGCTTTGAAAGAAAGTGACCCAAATCCTGGTCTCATTACTGAAGGTAAATTTATTCAGTCGAGCCCAAAAGAAACTGAAAACTACGTCTTTCTTTTAATACAGAAAACATGCAAAATGACAGTAAGCAATTCATTTCTGCCAAAAAACTCAGAAATTTTGAGAGTAAGGTCAGAAATTTTCTAGAAAAACAAGGGAACTTGCTAGAAAGAAAGCATCAAATTTCTAGATTAATATCTAGAAATTTACAAGATTTTTTTTCCCAAAACATCTTGTGAATTTCTGAATTTCAAATGTCAAAAGTTTTCTTTTAAATTTTTTTTCTAGAATATTTCTGAATTTTTGCCAGAAATATACTCCTTTTTTTCTATCTACAATGGCCCTAATACACCATTATAAAAATTGTTTTCAAGTTTTGGATCTACATCGGATACTTTATTTGCTTTAATTTAGGTTTTTTTTGGCCCGTAATTACTTTTGAATCTGTAATTTTGGCCCATGTGGCCAAAAGTTCGGACACCCCTGCCCTTGACTGAGAGGAGAACATGAGAGAAAACAGGACGACCCAAAAGACTGCAAAGATCTTCATGAATGCTCAAACCTCGTTACATTTTATTGGAGAGGAATAAATTCATTCTTTTTGGTAAAAGAGCGATGGTAAAATGGAGGTTTACAGGTGATGTCCTAATGAACAATTATTTCTTTTTTTTGCACTGAATAAATGTACTGAGCAGAAGTCAGTCTATTTTTTGTGGATGGTTTTGCACAAAGGATTGTATTTCCCATCTGTTTAAATACAGATTAACACAGACCATTGAGTTCGCAGCTGGATTACTACATATTTCCATGATTACAGTGAGAAAATGACTTGATAATTGTACAACCTCTTATTAAATTGCATTTTTCAATTCTAGTATCAATTTTCTGCTTTTGGTCCAGACCAGTAATGTCAGATGAGCTTTTTTATAGCAACTGAATGAGCGCCTGGTGAGGGCGAACACTGGTATTATTCATGCAACACGCGACACTGTTAAGTTCAATAGAATAAAAAGGGTTATTTGAAATAATTATACCTAAAGAATCACAAAGAAAAACTAATCTAAAGGGTTCACATGCGTCTGCATTAACCCAGCTTTTGAGCCTTACATTTTTGCTCCATCAGCCCTCATTATTTGTGTGTGTGTGTGTGTGTGTGTGTGTGTGTGTGTGTGCGTGTGTGTGTGTGTGTGAACGCTGGCCCAGGTGATGCAGGTGGTCCGGGAGCAGATTACCAGGGCTCTGGCCATGAAGCCGTCCTCCATAGACCAGCTGAAGAACAAGCTGCGAGGCCTCAGCTACTCTGAGATACTGCGTCTGCGGCAGTCAGAAAGGATGAGCCAGGACGACTTCCAGTCTCCGCCCATCATGTCAGTCTGCGCCTTTCCTGCATTATTCATTTTGTGTTCATGGTTTTCCAGTTCCTCATGCTGTGCTGTGCTGCAGAGAGCTGCGGGAGAGGATTCAACCCGAGATCTTGGAGCTCATCAAGCAGCAGCGGCTCAACCGGTTGTGCGAGGGAAGCTGCTTCCGTAAACTGGGGAACCGTCGAAGGCAAGGTAACGAGAGGAGCGCTGCAGACATTTGTCTGTCTGCGCAGAGTCTTGCTTCTATTGATTATTGTTTTTTCTTTTTTTTTTGTAGAAAAGTTCTGGTTCTGCCGATTATCTCTTAATCACAAAGTTCTGCACTACGGGGATTTGGAGGAGTCACCTCAGGGTGAAGTGCCTTTTGAGCTACTGAGTGACAAGAGTGAGACACACTTTTGTTTGTTTCTGCTACTTTTTGTGTTTTTTGAGAAACACAAAACAATTCTTCTGCATCTGGTGAGAGGATAAATTTCTCTGTTTTTTTTCTCTCCAGTCCCTGTCTCAGACATCAAGTCTGTGTTAACAGGAAAGGATTGCCCTCATATGAAGGAGAAAAGTGCTCTAAAACAAAACAAGGTGCTAAAATGTTCATTTGTATTCATGTCTAACATATTTTGCTGACTCGTGACCTTGCTGTGTTGTTGCTGAATTTGTTTCGCTCTGCCAGGAGGTGCTGGAGCTGGCCTTCTCCGTCCTCTACGATCCGGACGAAACGCTTAATTTTGTTGCACCGAACAAATACGAGGTAAAATATTCGCAGGCTATGACTGTGCGCTCGCAGGTTTTTTGCTGCAGTGTCTGAATTGTGAATGAGATGAAATAATTGAACCCTGTATTCATTGTTTTGATGTCGTCTGCTGGCCTTGGCTGGCTGCAGTAATGTTTTGATGCTGACTGACTTCTCATTAACCTGAAGACAGTCAGGCTGGTTCACTGAAGGCTTTGCATCTACAAAGTTCACATAAACCAGAGTCTGAATGTCCATCTTGACTCCAGGGTTCGTACGCAACCTGGAAAGGTTTGGAAACGTCTGGAATTTGTTTCCAGTGTTTTCCATGTCTGAATAAGTATCAAAACAGACAATGGGAATATCAAAACATTTTTCTATTCTCAAACTTTATTTCTTATCGCATTTTCCCCCCTTTGTTCCTTCATTCCTTCCTTTGCTCTCTCCTTTCCTCCTTTTATTCTCTCTTTTATTCCTCCCTTCATGTTACATTTTGCAACAGACTTGAAGAACCGAGACCTTTAGAAAGTTGAGCCTAGAAAAGTTTGCATTTTTCCCATGAAGACGGTGTAAGAACCTTGTGATTGACAGAGCCTTTTTTGCACACTTGGCTAACATTTAACCGGTGTTTGATGCTCGTATTTGGAGGAAACTCTGCCCATAATTTATCTAATGTTTGTAAAACGAACAGCAATACTTGAGCCGTGACATTAGCGTGAAATGTGCCACGACCTCTGGGGGCTGGATTTACTTTCACCAAGGAGTACAAACAGGAATTAAAGTAAAAACCAAGACTTTCTGCACTGCTAACTTTGTTGACAGGTGAACTTGGGGCTGTTTGCTCAAGCCAGTGGCCAGAAGCCCTGCTGAAGAAGAGAAACCAACAGATCCCATAAATAGGCACACGAAGCAAACGATGTACGATAGAAACCATTTACTCATTCACAAATGCACACAAATGATTCTCTCCAAGCAAATTGACCACAAGATGCAAAAATAAGCAATCAAAACCCTAAAAGGAAGTCATTAGATCTACACCAGTAGTTTGCTGACATTAAAGTAGATGTCTGATCAATCTAAAAAGGGCTGCACAAGTTTACGTTTCGTGGGAGGTCTGGAAGGGGGACAACCAAATGCAGCATTCCTGGAAAAGAAGCTCATGCCAACCATGAAACATAGAGGTGGAGGCGTCATGCTGTGGGGAGGCTCTTCTGCAGCAGGATCTGGCAGTCTCACCCTCGTAGGTTGCAGTAAACCCTTCAAACATCTCACATCTCAGAGGGTAGAGTTTGGTTGATTACTGCAAGTGTCTCTGAAGTTATTTCAGGCTAGATAACTTTTCCGCTCACTAGAAAACACATCTTTCATTGTGATCTTTTGGAAAATAAGGGGAATTTTTGTTGTGTGAATTCAGTTAAATCTTTCTTTTCCAGAGGAAACAATATCCGACCTCAATATTTGAACATCTTCTGATAAAAATCTAAATGCTTTGTTCGAACTCGCTCCCACAACTGGGGAATGTTTCCCCTTCCCAGAGCTACTTGGGTCAGTAAATTTGACCGTGAAGGATCCTCACTCACCAAAACTCCTCTGCATGTGTGTGTGTGTGTGTGTGTGTGCGTGTGTGTTGGTGTGTGTTTGTGCTTCTGTGCCCACATGTCCAGTATTGCATCTGGACCGACGGGCTGTGTGCGCTGCTGGGCAGAGAGATGGGCAGTGACCTGACACGCAGCGACCTAGATACCCTCATAAGCATGGAGATGAAGCTCCGCCTCCTCGACCTTGAGAACATCACGATCCCAGAAGCCCCGCCTCCAGTGCCAAAGGAGCCTAGCTCTTACAACTTCTCCTACAACTACAGCTGAGTTGTGCGTGTGCTTCTGTGTGTGCTCGAATGCCATGCATGCATGTATTGATAAAAGACACGTCTACTCATCTGTCGATGAATTTAGCTGCTTATATTTATAAGGGTTGATTTTCTTTCCCAGAACTTTAAAAACACACGTTTAGGATGCAGTATGGTTGTCAGACTTAAAACAAAAAAACAAACAAAAAAAATGTGATAATAGCTTTATGGTGGGGTCAGAGGTTAAACTTTACTTAACAGTTGAGAACCCCGACAGCATCTTCATCTCCTCTAATTCAGAAATGAAACCGGAGCTTTTAGTTTCTCGGTAAAGTGAAGGCGTTCTTGCTAAGTCGAGCTATGCGTGGTAGCCATGGCAACTGGTAATGAAGGGGCTGCTGTTTCAGTTTAAACGTTTAAAATTTGCTGTGGTACTGCTCGTTCCTCCACTTGTACAGTAAAACACAATCAGCTCTACACTTTTTCTCCACTATTGCCTCATTAATATCAAGTTATAAACATGTTGGACCGTCATTAAGCTGGACAGCTTTCTCTGTAGCAGCCTGTTTCTGCTATGAAATGAGATGTACGTGTGCTAGAGAAATCTTCAGACGGGGATTAATTTTTGTTGACGATAAATATCAGGACTGGCACGAGTCCAGGTGCTGAAACCTCCATTTGTGTCTTCACAAAGTTTGTTGTTTTTCTGAGCAGTTGCTAAATCTGCTGATTGGAAACCCAAATTGGATCACACAAACAATCAAAACCGGACTAGATTTGGTCATTGTTACTGGATGAGGGCTGGTAGTAAGCAGTTACCAGCACAAAGCTGAGTTTACACACCTGGTGTCACTGATCGCTGACGCTGCCTGAATTTCTTTTTTTCTCACATTTTTCTTGGCTGCTCTACAGTATCGGCTCACAAAAGGGATTCAATTACCTAATTCAGTTTTCATTCTTTGTGTGTATGTGTCTGAGTGTGGACATCTTCAGGTTTTTTTGTGTGTTCATATTGGTTCCCAAACTGTGGTATAAACACCAGTAGTGATGCACTCCTGGTAAACTGGTTTTTATGAGCTTGGTCGCTGTATTTACTTACCAGTATAACTTGGTGCAGCATTTTGACAAACCTGCATGATGTAGTTGTAACAAACATAAAGATATTTTAACAGAGAACATTTTTGTATATGAAGTAGAGATTCACCAATATATCTACAACAATAAGGATCTGGCATTTTTCTAAAGACTAAAAGAATAGTTTTTCCCTACTTATGAAATGTCTTTATTGACATGCAGTATGCTTTGATACATTTCATCCATCCATTTTCTTTACACCCTTGTCCCTTAATGGGGTCATTAAATCTTTAAGGTCTTATGGTCCTTTGAATAAGAAAATCTTAATCAATCAAAATTGAAATTTGGAAGTCAGACTTTTTAAAATATCTGGAAATTGGTATCAGCCAAAAACAAAAAATCCTAATTGCTCTAGAGGTTAGCCAGAGTAATGCATAAATTACACAGCATGAGTTTATAATATACTTCCATAATTAACAGTTTAACAGTGTTAAAAAGTATTAATATATTTAGTCAGTTCTCTGTTGTGCATAAGGAAAAAGAGAAAACATTTCTTCAATGTTTGATATCAGATGTCTACAACTACATATCATGCTGGATACAAAGTAGGTAAAGATGGTTTTTAATATAAATGCTATGTGGTGTTGTGTTTTCGCAACTTAAGGCATGGCGTTTCAGTTTGCATCATAAAAACTTACCTTGCATTGCTTAAACGAAGGAAGCCGCTTCTATTCGTTTTACCAGTTTAACAGTTTAACACTCTCACTGCACAGACCAGGGGATTTAAGGAGCTTCTCTGCAATCTACTATTGAAACTATGCTGGATTTTCCAATCCTATGAAACTCAAACTTTCTGAAAAGTGGAGAAATCTAGTACTGCTCATGCATCACATGAACACAGGATTATGTTCTTTATATTTAGCTGTGTTGTCATTTTCAATTTCCCCGTAGTTCCCAGTTATGGACTTTCAGCTTGTGAGCCGATACTCAGCACTGCTACTATTTGTTAAAGCTCTATAAAATTATATTTTGGTAAATGACTACCTTCTTGTCATTATAACTCTGTCTTTCCAGTATTTCCAAGTTTAAATATTAGTTTTTTCAGACTCCATTTCCCCTTAGCAATGCTAAAATGAAGAATACATTTCTAAAGATAAGTTTCTCAAAGAAGCAGAATTATTCTATTTTTACATATAAAAGATGAACATTGTCATATTTTTAGTTTTGTTTAAAGCTTTTATGAGCCTACCTAAGTTTGAAAATCTGATTTATAGCGGCAAACAATTTGCTATAAGTTGCACATACACAGCACTGAAATATTTGTTTTTTCAATTTTCCTCTGAGTTCAAATATAGATTTGTTAAATGAACCCCTTGTTGTATAGAAGAACATGACAATGTTCAGATTGCAACCCCAAACTGAAAATGTAAACATTTATCATGTTTAAGATGATTTAAGTCTGTGAAATTAGACTTTTATAATGTGAAGGAACCCTGTGTGTTTTTGCATTCAACATGCTCAGTATACACTGAAACAAATCCATTATATCGTTTTTTTTTGTTTTTTTTTTAAGGGCACCTACTGCAACTATGATGTCAGCTTGTGTCAATAATCTGTGTTGATGCTAGTGGGAATAGCAGAGTTCAGCTTGTATGCGATTTGCTTTTCCCCCCCCCAAGTTTGTTTTGAATCTGATTTTGGAAATTTAAGGGGTTTAAAAATGGGTTGTGGCACCGAGAGTTTCTTAAAAGCTGTACATCTTCACCAGCTGAACATGTGCTGCGCAAAAGATGCAGTGTGCTCCAGGCCTGTGTGTTTACCAAATGTTTTTCTAATTACAGTGAATTAGTGGGAAACAAGCTGACTTGCTCTTCCTTTTATTAATTCTGCATAAAGCATTGTTCTCTAAGCCCTCTGAGCCACCGTACCAGCCCATAATCAAACCAGTAACTGAACCAGTTGACGATGTTCAGGCATCAACTTCTGTTGCCGTTATCTTCTACAATAACTCTTGCCTTGAATGAACGAATAAATTGAAATTTTTAGATCCATTAACTGTTTTTACATAACTTACTTAAAAAATGTATTTACACTATGTAGTGCTACTAAAGAATGACAGAGTTATATAAATATTTGAATATGCTATCCATGTAGATCATTCTATGTATATACAGTAATGTCTTGCCTTATTGAAGAGTTGTATTATGTTTTGTGTGAATAAAGAAGTCCTAACTGATGCTCAACGTGTTGATTCTTAACGCAGAATCACATTAAATTGCATTAATGTCTTATAAAGTTTCGCACATTTTCATCTTACAACCACAAACTCCAATGCATTGTCCAAAGATGTTATGTGAAAGAACAACATAAAGTAAAGGATAATGATGGAAACAAGTATTTATTTACAGCTGCTAATCTGAAATGTACGCTTTTGCTTTGTTTTCAGCCAGTCTTACTCAAATACCACTAGATAATATCCATCACCACTAATTACACTCAGGTGCCTCTTACTTAGTAAGTTGATGTTGGTCAAGTCAGCATCATGCTGGGGGACGTTTTTATTCTAATTCCAGTTGTTCTGTGAAAACCTCAGCGATTTGTCAGATAACGTTTGTGCACAGCAGACGCATTTTTCTTTTAAAATTTTAAAGCAGTGTTACATTAAAAACCAGTATTTCAATCTTTCCTCTAACGATGAAGCCAGAAATACAGAGGAAGTGTTACTTCAGGTCAAATCACATTCATGTGTTGGAATGACCTCGTCAAATCAAGAGCTACAACCGATTGAGAACCGGGGGAAAGACTTGAAAATGTATGTTTTTAGACATTCTCCAACCAAAGTGGCTTTTAATTTGCGTTTTTGGAAAGAATGGGTAAAAGTGGGCAAACGTACTCGAAAAATGCAGCTGTTACTGAAGCAAAGGTTGTCTCTCTTCTACAAACTACGGTAACACTTTATTTGAAGGGGGGTGAATAAGACTGTTATGACACTGTCATAAACATGACATAACACCTGTCATGAACATGAATAAGCCTTCATGAATATTTATGACTGTTGTCATAAAGCGTCATTCGGTAAATTATGACACTTTTAATACAAAGTTGACATTATTCAAAATGTCTTCGTTATGACAACTTGACATTAACCAAGAAATCATTACTGATGTAAATTTGTTATAAAAGTATTACTGATTGCACTTTAAAAATTAGGTAACTTTATGTTATTAAAGGTAAAGTTTAAACACTAATGATTTCTTGGTTAATGTCAAGTTGTCATAACAAAGACATTTTGAATAATGTCAACTTTGTATTAAAAGTGTCATAATTTACCGAACAGTCATAAATATTCATGAAGACTTGATGTTCATGACAGGTGTTATGTCATGTTTATGACAGTGTCATGACAGTCTTATTCAACCCCCTTTAAATAAAGTGTTACCCAAATTACTGACTCACACAAAACGACAATGTTTCAAAGTTATATTTGTATGAAATTTAGAAAACCTCTATATTTTCTGCTGTATTTATAAATAAAAACACGTTGGTAGTTGGTTCTAACATGTCAAAACGTGGAAAAACAGTATATGTGCAAAATCCTTACCTCAAGTAGCTGACTTTAATACTCTGCTGGCTGGAAACAATTTTCATGGTGCAACTAATCTGACAGAATCTCTGCTGATGTCACTCTTTGACACTCTCCAATTTTAATTAAAAAAATTAAACGGCAAGACCTGCATTTCACATTTGTTCCTGTCCATCTGAAATAAATTTCTCTTACAGCTAAGCAGAGATCTGATGCTATCAGATAATCTGAAACTGAGTAATAGATGTATATTCCACCCATCCATCATCTTTACCTGCTTATCCTTGCAGGGCCGAGGAAACACTGGTGCTCATCTCCAGCGGTCTTGGGGTAACAGATGGAGTACGGCCAGGACATTTTAACATTTTATATTTCTTACCTTTGCATAAAGCTAAGTTGAGGTCCTGAGATCCAGTTCTGATAGAAGGGAAATTCGGCAGCTACTTGAGTTTGGGAAAATTGCATCTTTCAGCCCTTTAATCTGGCCTCTCAGTTACATTCCTCCTCCAGCAGGGGACATTCTGCGTCTTGTGTTACTGAGAAGGCGTGAGATGTCTAACACCATTAGTATTCATGTTGGTTTGGTGGAGAACCTAAGCTTTGCTGAAATGATGCAACACTATTTCTAAATGACTTTTTTCTAAATCTCATGTCTTTGTCAAATGATTTTCCATATGTCAGTTTTTGATTAAAAGAAAAAACACAAAACACAAGTAGATGCAAAAAACATAATTCAAAGCTCAAACTAGTCACTTTTAAATCACTTTTATTTTAAAACAGAGAGACATGTTTTATCAGGGATGAGCTCACCATATAGGTACCGCAAGATGGACGAGTCAGTCCAAGAGCAAAGCTAAAGCGCCGTGTACATCAATCACTTTGACTTAAACTGTCCAAACCAGCAGAAAGTCCTTTCAGCGCCCGTCGTAATGCAGAGTTTTATCAGCTTGGAGAGAGTATGCTCGAGTCTGTGGAAACATGTTGACTATAAACAGGACAAAACCCCGGAGGTCTGGGCTGCTCTCTCTTCTGTAAATATCCATTCCTGAAATGTATGAAGCTCTCTTTAGTTTCAGTCCAGTGATCATAGGCAGCTCAGGCTCTGTTGTTTCCCCTGTGTTAAGCAGGAGTATGATTGTCCAGTTTTATTTCCCCGCCAAAGGGGAGATAAGCAATCTTTACAACACATCTCAACACAGAAACAAAGTCAATATATACTTTATGCTTATATAAAATAAATACAAATCTCTCGTTGCACCATAATCTCTAAATCCTTCATTTGTGTGAGTGCTAGAGTATATTTCATGTCCCATGTTATGGACGTGTGCCAGTTTATCTCGTCTGCATTGGAATGGGTGTAATTATCTCAAATGATATAATACGATGCCAGCTTCTCTTTCAGATCTGTTGGATCTTCATTGCTCTCTTTTGTCTTCTGAGCGATAATAACAGTCTGGGGACCCTTGATATCCACACAGAGGGCGTTGTGATGCTTCCTCGCCTCCTCGCCAGGTTCAGCATCCCAGCCCTGCACTGCTAGCAGCAGGATATAAGCAAGAAGCAGTAGTGTGACCGCTATGGAGGTCAGCTCTGGGTTGAGCTGCAAACCAGGCTGAGGCTCTGGCACATCCTTGGTCCTGAACGACACACAGCGAGGCTTTTTGCTCCCCTCCGACCCAAGGTTGTCTCTCTTGCCGTCCTCACTGACTCCTAGATGTAGACACACTCTGTAAAATGTCTCTGCCTGCAGGTGAGTTAGGTTGAAGCTCTGAGTGCCAGCAAGTATGCGCGTGGTGTATGTTGGTGTGTGGGAGCTGGTCTGCATGGCCTGCCAGGATAAGCGAGTGGAGGGCAGGTTTTGTCTGCTCTGCCAGGACAAGATAGCATAGTGCTCTCCAACCTCGTTCAACTCCAACCTGGCTTCTACTCTCATGGATTGAAATTTCTTCGGTTTAGTCATCACCCCCCTCTTTCTATTTTTCCCCCTGTTGTGCACTCCTACTGTAACGCTGTGTGTATCTGCTCCTAATGCATTCTCAGCCACACAGGTATACAGTCCTGCCTCTCTGGGGGAGATCCTGCTGATCTCTAGGGTTCCCTCAGGCTGTAGCTGGTAGTGTTTGAAGAACTGGCAAACAGTATCATTGTGGGCTTGTGGGTGCTGGAAACTGAGGGCAGATGTGTTGTTAAAGCCATCTGAAGTTGTGTTTCTACAGAGGGCGGAAGCTGGAAAACCTTTTGATGTACTGTTTGCAGAAGGCCCTAGTCTCA